GGCTGCCCTCAAATCAACGCGACGCTGTTTCCTACATGTCTCAGCTTCTACTTTTTTAGGAACTTCGATAGACTCACTTATATATTGATTTTCTCTTATAATGGAAAAATCGATATATCGATAATTTTTTAAATAAATATGAGTAAAGTGCTAATACGAGTCTCCAATTGTTGATGCGTAAATAACATATTGTACTTATAAAGCAATAAGATATAATGCGCAAACAATTGGAATGTACTTAGAAATTTAGCTGCAGACGTTTCGATTCTGGATCTGAGTCCTCTTCAGTTGCGAAAGTCAAGTTCAAACTACGCAAACTGTAGTTTGTACTTAACTTCCGTACTGAGTGACTATTAATACATTGTATTTCCACAATTGTGAATTATATCTCTTATTGCCTAATAAATATATTATTTACTTTCCAACAGCCGCGAAGGCTCATAGTGGTATTTTATTTGTATTTGATTTATTCTTGGAGCTGCAAAACTATTTTTATTTTTATAGTAATTATTACGTACTCAAGATAGGAATATAGAGTTTTTTTTCTAACGCCTATTAACGGATTAATATTATATTAAAAAATAAAATATTAATTCTGGTAATAATTACTTGCGATAGAGTGCAAATATTAAAATATTCTAATTAATGCGCGAGTGTTTTTATAAGATAATCTTATTTCCGCAGATGTTTCAATTATACTATTATATTTCTATGAATGAATATATTAATGTTAATGATAGATCTTAACCCTGTTCTATCTAGATAAGTCACACAAAATACATAATTTATGCAAATTACATAGGAGATGAATTTTTAATAGCAATGTATTTCTCACCAAAAACTAAAGAAGACGTCGGTGAATGTTTCCGCGCATGTGAACAGCGCGAATACTATCCAATACATCATCCATTTAACCTGAAACCAAGTTTCACAGTAGTTCTACAGTAATAGAGGATTACAAAAGTAGTATAAAAGAAGACTGCAAATAAATTTCATATTTATTATTTACAGTGTAAAGAATGTTTAAAAAATAATTTACGAGATAAAAAATAAATATTATATTAAAATATAAATATTGCTTTAGAAAAGATGAATATTACTCCGAAAATCTATATAATTTATATATTTTATTATTCACAAAAAGAAAGAACAAAGATAAAATTAAATTAGGTTCTATTATTGCAAACTTTTTTCTTCTTATAGAATAATTTGAGCGTAAAGATAAAAATTTATGATGGCTATGTAGCAACATAAATATACGGCTTTGCGAGAAGAGCAAAAAATTAGTGTTAAAAAATTCCCAATGTTTATTCAAACATTGCATTTGTGTGATGCAGATAACATTTAGATACAAATTGCTCAATCACTTGACGTTGTGTGGCAATTTGCCACATATATACTTTTATGTAAAATATTATTAATTATGTAAAAATAAAAACACAAATGTTATAATCTTCTCGATCAAATTTTCAATGGAATCAACTCTTAAATTTTTAATTGGAATATCAAATCATATTTTGTAATTTAATCACAATTAAAAATATATCAATTATATAAAATGAATAATTCTTTCTTTATCTTTAGAATATTACTTTACTTAAAAAAATTGATATAAATATTCTTCAAAAAATAAAAAAGATAGGAGAGTATATCAAAAAGTTTTATAGTTTACGTACTTATTTTAAATTAAATATTTTCGTGATGTTGGATTTAAGGGCTAAAATAGCATTCGCTAAGCTATTTATTGCATGATTGTTTACTTATGTTTCTCACTTACGTATTCCTTGACATTTTTCGTGCGCACCGCCTTGTAGGAAGCGTACGCCGGGTACAAGGTGCCGAAGACCAATCTGAAAATCGGATAAACGAGCCTATAAATGAGGGATCGCGGCGACACTATCGCCAGGAACACCGTCAATAATCCGACGTTATTCAACGTCATTCTTATGGGAAACGTTTGCAACCAGTAACGGCACCAGGCCATCGCTTGTCTCGCTAAAAGCTCGCCGATTCCCGCCCTATGGATCACCGCAATCGATAATTCATCCGATCGCGGTACGTCCTTTTGATGAAAAACATCTATCGTCGATCGACGGTCTTCTCTCATATCCATTGTAGCCATCGTATTAGCAATTTATTTCTCTCTATCTCTCTTTCTCTCTCGCGTTGCGCGACGACAACGTTTCTCTAATCGTGAAATCTTGAATGCTTCCGGAGATCCTGCGACAATCGTCGAACGAGCACGACGAGTCGAGCTGCAACACAAAACAGAAATTATTTGAGAGATATCGTTACCATGTGTTAGTGGCGCAATTACGAATTTAAGAAGATTCAATGGAATGAAAGATTTGATTAACGTGGGTACTTTAAGTACTTTAAGGTCTTGTTAGCGAAATCAATTTATCGGACTTATTAAGGCTCGAATGAATGAGTTCGACAATTGGAATAATTAGAACAGAATAACATAGTTCTACTTTTTGATCAAATGAAATATTAACCTAACAAAATCGTTGTAGCGAATTAATATTGACATGTGTCAGTTAGAAAACATTATAATGCCATGATAACACTCAAATATATTCACACAGAAACAATTGACTAAATAAGTATAAATGAGAAATTTAAATTAATATGTAAATGTATGTACTAGTATATGTTCACTCACAGACTAAAAGGTTGCAACACTTTTTTTTAAATGGGTTTCGGAATGCAGTCTGCTCATCGAGCGATTGGTTCTTACTTATGGATCCTGCATTCCAAAATCCATTAAAAGAAAAGTGTTGCAACGTTTTAGTCGGTGAGTATATACATGTATGTATGGCTTAATCCGGATTTCAAATTGGGGACCTTGTTAAATCGACCTTGAACTCGAAATTTGGTCATTTTTTCCATATTAATCGAGCTATATTTCTTAAGGTGTATATCATAAAGTTAAATGAACTATTGCATTATGTTTAGCGATTAAAAAAACATACAGTATCACGTTTGAAATTCGGACTAAATTTTTACATCAAATTAAATATATATTAAGGAAAAGCAAAACTTTGATTTAAAAATTGTTCACTAGCGACCTCTAAATCTTAATATTTTTTGATAAAATTTTAGGGTTGTTCTTTTGGCATGAAATACTAGCTTTTAAGCTAAGTGGCCGATTAAAAAAAAATTTTTTTTTCCTTGGCAGTCTAATAT